TTTGTTGAGGTATAATTCATAACTCATAATTCATAAATTCTCCCTTTTAAAGTACACAATTCAAAGGTTTTTAGTATCTTCAGAGTTGTGCAACCATCACCACCATCTAATTCCAGAAAGTGTTCATGTCTTCCATCCACTGCAGCCCCTGGCAGCCATGAATCTACTTTCTTTCTCTGGATCTCCCTCTTCTGGACATTGCATATTCTGGGCATCACACAATATGTGGCCTTTTGTGGCTGGTGGTGTCTGTTCTTTAGTGCATCTTGTAAATGTTGTTCAGTGCATCTCAGTTCACCAAACATTTACTGAATGTTTGCTGGGCTCCGGGGAAATGAAGGTGAGGCAGTCAAGGGGGGAGTCAACACCGAGAGGTAGATGTGGGCTGAGAGGTGCACAGGCAGCAGCCCAGAGAGCCAGTGGGGACCCTGGTCCAGGCTGAGGGGACGTGGAACACCCTTCTTTTCCAGCCCACACCAGAAGCCTAGTCAACTGACATCCTATAGACTCACAATGACACCGCCCCCTGAGAGAAGACGGACCTTCCTTCAGTTTCTCAGACTTGCCACGCCCCTTCCTTCCTCTGCCTAGAAGACTGCGCTGTCCTCCCTGCCTCCACTTCCCCCTCCCCCGGGTTCACACCTGGTTGTCCTGCAGGGCTGGCTGGTGGGTCTTGTCCTCAGTGAAACTCCCCCGGTCCGGACAAGCCAGGCCACTCTCTGGCTGATCTCACAGACCCACCTGCTCCCTCGTGGCGCGCACTATAGCTGCAGCTCACTGATAAGACTGTCACTTCCCCTAGGACTGGGAACGTGTCTGTTTTGTTCAGCCTCGTGTCCTAGGACCGGGCATCACGCCTGACACCTGATCCCCGTGCAACATACGTGATGGATGAATGACATGAAGGCTGCGTGAGGAGACTGCAGCGTGTGTACTCCGGGGACACGGAGCCCCACATATGCCCCCATTGAATCACAGCCCCACCCTGTCCCATGCTACCATATTTGGGGTGAAGTCAAACCCAAGTAGTTTCTTTCCCTAATAAAGGCCCACTTGTCCCCTGCCTGCTTTTCTGTCAGCACACGCTCTATAGAATGTGAATGTGATTTCATCAAGTGGCACTTGGTGGCATTCTCTCTCATAAAGTAAGTCATTTTGTAAATCTTGTTCACCACCTTTGTGATGAACAAAGCCCCGGATGACTTTGTTGAGAAGGCGCCTTCGCTAGACCTTTCATTGCCCTGGTTACTTCTGATAACTGTGGTGGCACCTATGATACCACTTTTTACTCATTCCATTAAATGGGAAAACAACATTGACAGCAACCACCATTCTGTGGCTTGCTGCCGCACCAGTCAGCCTGGGGAACAAATACTCAGAATGATTTGATGTCTTTTGGTCAGTGATGCACCTAATAAAATGCCTTGTCACAGAAAATAGAAAGCCAAATGGCATTATTTGTAGGTTCTGCTGTCTGGTCTGTTCAGTAGTCAGTGGCTTAAATGCAGGTGTCCTGGATCATTTCAGACACTAGTAAAAATAACACTCTGTGGGGCTGTTCTCTGGGGCTATTGGAAAAACAAAACAATAGTGTGACTCTAAGACCTTGAACTGGAAAAAGCCCTGGCACATTTCACAGGCTGCTGGCCACAGGCTGTGTGAAGAGTTTCTCAGTTTAAGGAATTTGATTTAATCGCGTTAATTATGCCTCGTGACTCCACTGAGGAATTCATAGTACATATCACTTTCCAGTTTCTTGGGTGACACATGTTTTTTAAGTTCACGTGTTTATTTAAAATGCTGTGAAAGTTTGGCCATGCTAAAGAGATGACGACTGTGGACGGCTGAGTTGGTGTGTGAGAAGAAGGTTGGGAAAGGACTAGAAAGGCCCCAGTAGTGCCGGAGAGGAACAGAAGAACAGTGATAGACACTATTTTTTTAGACAATGTATTTTAAGGTCTTGTTTTGTGTTGTGCTCTGGGATATACTGCTCAGAAGCAGTTCTCATTAAATCATTGTCACGACTCAATGACGTGGATATTGAGATTTGCGTCTGAGAGCTAGGGAGACTGAGGCTCCGAGGTGCAGTCTTGCCCTGGTCAGGGCTGCAGTGTCTTTGTCGAGGATTCCTCAGCTGGGAGGATTCTCAGGCCGGGGGTGAGAGTAGATGCTGGATACCTTACCATGGCCCCAGATGCCTGCTCTGGGAGCAAGGATGGGCCCCTGGGTCTCACTGATGTCTCTCTCCGATGGTCCTCTCCTCCCCTCCTACCTTGGAGGCTACTCACCAGGGCTGAGTGGCCACTCATCTGTTTTCCTCGCTTTTCTGCCAGGTGGTGGCTACAGTCGCACCGTGTTTGCACTCCTGTGGAGAGGAAGTAGCTACAGTTATTCATTCTCTCTCTGACCTGTTAGAATGACCTTTGTTTGTAAGAGATGTTTTATCCCAATCAGGGATAGGACCTACTTTCTGAATATGCCTTGGCAGCTTCCAAATGATCTGAAGGCAGTCTCAGTAGGCTGACCCTGGGGACCAAATTCCTGGGACGCTCACATGAGAAGGCCTCTCAGCAGCCACGCACTTGCTCCTAATGAGGGAACTGAGGCCCAGAGAGGGGAACGGGGCCCACACAGGACGCCACAGGACAGTAACCAGAATCTAGCCCCCAGTTACTGTGCACGTATTCATTCATCCACTTCCTTCCGCCAACTTAATTCTGCGTACGGTGAGCAAAGTGCTGTCCCAGGCACTGAGGAATCAGCAGCCAGTGACCCAGACAGAGCCCCTGCCCTGGTAGAGTGTAGAGTCCAGGGTTAAACATTACATTATTGCACAGCTCGGTACAATTTGCCATTCTTATCCCCCGGGGGCTAATGGAAGTGTATTCCTGGGAGACAGGGTCTAGTCTGGAGGTCAGGTGATGCACCCTTGCACAAGGATGTTGAGTTGAGCTTGGAAGGATGAGTAGAAATTGAATAGGTGAGATGAAGGGAAGGGGTTCCCAGGATTGAAGGGGAGAAGGGGGAGGAAGCAGACACATTGGAGAAACAGAAGGAAGATGGTGGCTGCAGCAGAGTGAGGGGACGGGGGTGGCTGGGAGGTCGGCAGGACCAGGTATGTGGTTTTGAAGGCCATAGGGGCTTAATCAAGTCCCTAAGAGCAGTGGGAAGGCGTCTAATCAGGCGGATAACCTCATCTATTGTTATGGAATAAGATGTTATGGAAAAATCCAAACAAACTTTTTGGCCAACCCAATATTTGCACTTGGGAAACCATCACTAGCAGCTGTGTCCACCCTCAGATGCCAGAGCAGGTCTGGGCACCTGTTCTGCACACGGTGGACCTTCATTGTGCCATCGTAGGAATGCCTGTGTTCCTTACCCGTTTTGATGCTGTTTATAAATAAAATTACATGCACTAAATTACTATATTTATTTAAAAGAGCTTAAAGCTATTTATTATAGTGATTTTAAACGTTTTACTCTTAGTCTAGTAAAAATGCTGAAGGTAGAAGCAATTCTTCAAAAGATAATAAAATACCAAAATATTGTCCTTTTCCTCAAAGATGATACCGGTTATTCTAGATGGAGCCAGAAAACCTATCACAAAAGGGCTGATAAGTGGGGTGCAGATATCTAAGCGGTGAACAGTTTGTTTTCTTGGAAGATATATTTCTTTGACAGCCACCCCAAATTCCCCTGCAGGAGACACAGGAGAGTCTGAGGTCAGTACACAGTGTGTTGCTTACTGGGAAGGGTCTGGAGACTTAACGTCCCCGACACTGGTAAAGGAAAGCTGCTGTCCCCCATCTGAACCCAGGCGCCCTTCAGTCATGGCCTGCGGTGTTCTGAAAGCTGGGACAACAGAAAGCCTGGGATGAACCTGCCAGGGTTCGAGCACAGCCCCGAGAAGCAGTGCAGGCCAGAGTCGGGACGCCAGAGTTCAAGGCCAGTTCCATCATTAACAAGGGGTGGGGCCGTGGAAAGTTCTGTTGGCCTCTCTGAGCCTGAATTTCTTCTGTAAAATGGGGCTGATGCTCCCTGCCCATAGCAGGTGTGGGCGATTCAACAAGGTAATGCAGGTGAAAGCGGAAACCCCCAAATGGAGGCTGACAGTTCAGCCTGGCAGCGACCCTCATGAGAGTGCAGTTTCTCTTGTCAGGGGAGGTCTTCCATTATTTTAGGATCTTTTTGGCAAGAATAACCCATAGTCAGTTTAAAGGGCACGCGTGCACACGACACACACGTGCACACACACACACACAGTGAAGATTGTTGGGATGGGCTGCTTTCATGGGGTCTCTACTGGGAACCAGCTGAATGCCCTTTTTGGCAAGGGGCCGCCATAGAGGTGGTGAAGAGGCCTGTTTCACCTGCAGATACCCTCTCCTGCCTTGTCTGCCCCCCCAGCGCCCTCCAACTTGATAAAATCTGCAGCTTTTTGGAGGCATTGGGCCCCTCCCACCGGGACTGTCGAGTTTGCCAATGCTGGTGTATAATAAAATGTTTCATTCACTTTGTGACTCAGAAGTTTCATTTCATCCCTGGGAAATCACTGACTGTGAGGCCCCACTGGGTCTCTGTGGTGCACCGGCAGCATTGTAGGAGTCCAGTGGGAACTTGCTAAAGGAAAAGAAATGACAGCCCCTGAGGGTATCCAGATCCCATGGAGATGGCCGGAATTCTTCCAGAATTTGGAATTGATTTTCAAAATCAAGAGTGCAAATCTGAGTTCATGCTGTGTTCAGCTGCATATTGTATAAGGAGAAGACTCAAGTACACACTTAAAAGGGATGTTTAAGCTCTAAAAATGATAAGAGTTTGCGGAGGCCACAGGATCTATAGATCCAGTGAGGTTTCTCTCTCCTTTAGTCTTTCAGGGGGTCCAATCAGCAAACCAGTCATTGCAGCCGGTAGGAAAAGTGCTTTCTGGAAAACATAACTGGCCGCATTTGAATGAATCATAACGCGTTTCTCCCGGTTTTGCTCTTCTGTCCTAGATTCTTTTGTTGGTGGAGTCATTGGCCTCATTTTTGCCTACATTTGCTACAGACAGCACTACCCGCCTCTGGCCAACACAGCTTGTCACAAACCCTACGTCAGTCTACGAGTCCCGCCGTCGCTGAAGAAAGATGAGAGGCCCACGGCCGACAGCGCACCCAGCCTGTCCCCTGAGGGGATCACCGAGGGCCCCGTATGACTGGGACCTCGGAGGACGGTCGCTGAGCCCAGGCCACGCTCTACCACCTCTCATAACGCAGTAGAAGAGCGTTTCTGTAGTAGTGTGCTCGTCATCAGTTGTTTATCCAAGTTATCCTCCTGCTTCCACTTTGCCGACGGTGTTCCTGCTACTTTAAATGTCTACTTTCAGCTCCCCTGAATTCGCAAGGGAAGGACCCAGGAACGTTCTCTGAGAGACCTGTGGGTTTGGAAGGAGGCTGCAAGGGTGGGCGGGCACAGCTTGGTCGATTCCTCCATCTGAAATGTTTTCTATCGCAGCCAGCGTCCTATGATTTCACGGTTGTAAAGCATAATAAAATGTCGCACCTGGAAGACGTGGCATTGGCCGTTCAGCGCACAAGTCATTCGGGGCCGCAGTGAGTCTCACATCGGCCGCCGCGTGAGCATCTGGCCCAGCGCTAGCTCTGGCTGTGGCCATTCTAGGTGCTGAGCTGGGGGCAAAGGCTGAGAACTTTCACAACAGTCAGCCACAGCTTATGTCTCTGAAATGGACTTGCAACTTGGAGATGCAGCCTTAGTATCTCCAGGGCTTTTTGAATCGTTGAATCTAGAGGGAAGTGAGATGAAGAAGCTCACGCATAGGCTTCCACCAAACACGATGAAAATAGAGATTCCAAGTATGGGGAGGGGGTCACTGCAGTTTTCTGAGGGCCCTGGCTACCATATCCTTTCAAGGGAACGGCTGGGTGACGATGAAGTAAGAAGCAGCCTCCAGGTAGGAGTTTTTCCCCTGTAGGATCCCAGTGCTTGAAAGCTTCTTCAGGTGGTGGTCGCAAGTCCCCATTCCTATCTGGCAGGTGGCGTTACAGCATGAGAGGGCGCGGGCAGAAGGTGCCGGAGCACGATCGGCAATATGCTGTCTCTTGCTCGGCTCTTCGAACTCTTTAAAAGCGGCCAGTCGAGAACCGTTTTTAGTCTGAGTACAGAGCCTGCCACTCCTCGGCCAGCTGGTTCTCTTCAAAGCAGCGGGCGTCCCTCCGTTCAGTTGTGATCACGCGCACCAAGTGGTTCTCCAGATTCCTGGGCCTGCTGCGATGGGAAGCGTTTCTGGTGTCTGAAGACTGTCACTTTCCAGCAGTCCATGGAACAGACTGCATTTGGAAAGACTGTACAAGTGGTCACCTGCATAGCTCTGCCCTGGGTGTGCCACTTGGAACCATCAGGATGTCTTTGATCAGCCACGTCCACTGCGGGCTCAGCCTGGGAGTGTGTGAAGATCTTATCAAATGAGCCCCAGTGCAGCCCTGCAGCTGTGGTCCTTCCAAACCTGTGTCTGCACTGAGCCAGGGAGCCACCATCCTGTTGTGGGGTCGGGGGAGGGGAAGTCTTGAAGTGACATCCTTCCAAAGTCAGATGTTTTAAAATTGCAGCAGTTACACTCACAAGCAACTTTGAAAACACATGTGAGATACTTTAAAAGCTAAGTCGTAGCAATTCATGAGATCATTTTAAACCCAGAGCCAAAATTCATGTAAAATTTTAAACAATATTCTGATCTAACTAAAAATTTCATAATTTTCAAAATAAAGTCAAAAATAAAAATGCAGGAAAAGGAGCCTTTGCTACCTACTGTTTAGAAAAAGAACACCCAATGCAGCCCGTATACTTCTTTGATTCCAGTTTTCCCCGTACTCCGCACAGCGAGCAGAATGAAAGCGAGAGTTACCCTTCAGTTAATGATGACAAAATCCTGGACCATGAAATGTAAATTTAATATAAACACATTTAAAGATAGATGGAAGGACTCCGAAAAGTAACAAGAACAGAGCGTTGTTAACGCTGACGGTTATTCAGTAGAAAGTCCTAAGACAGCCCATGTAAATGCTTTCATTAAATTGTAATTAAAATCACAAAGGACGTAATAACCTGAAGTGTATGGCAGGATCCTTCGGAGACATAATTAACAGTATGAGCCAGTTCACAAAAGGCAGGTGTTTTCGTGGATCCATATATTTTAATTTCACGCTCCATTAAGGTGAAGGAAATGCAACATCGCAAGGCACTAATAAAACGGCCAAGAATGGAGGCATTTGCTCCCCAGACCCCGGTCTGTTTTGGATGTGAGGGGTTACTAATTCAGTCTCTGGCAAAGCAAGCTGCAGACGGTGCAAACGGAGCCCAGCTTGAAAGCTGTGCTCCGCGAGACTCTTCTTCCCTCCCGGAGTGAACGTGCTGAGAGTCCCTCTACACTGGCCAGCGCTGTGTCCTCTGTCCTGTGGCCAGCCCAGAAGTAAGGGGGCTTGGAAGGGAGAGTCCCCAGCATTTTCCCTCGTCGCCTTTCTCCAGGTCCTCAGGTTACCTGTACACGGGGGCGGGGTGGTTTCCTTGTTCATTTTATTTTATTTTAGTATTTCATTTTTGGCTGTGTCGTGTCTTTGTTGCTGCGCGCGGGCTCTTCTCTAGTTGCGGTGCGCGGGCTTCTCATTGCGGTGGCTTCTCTTGTTGCGGACCATGGGCTCTAGGTGCGCGGGCTTCAGTAGTTGTGGCACGTGGGCTCAGTAGTTGTGGCTCACGGGCTCTAGAGCGCAGGCTCACTAGCTGTGGCGCTCGGGCTTAGTTGCTCCGCGGCATGTGGGATCTTCCTGGATCAGGGCTCGAACCCGCGTCCCCTGCATTGGCAGGCGGATTCCCAACCACTGAGCCACCAGGGAAGACCCCCTTGTTCTCTTAATTACTGATTCCCCGGTGCCACCCTGTAGCTCCTGAGTTAGAGGGGAAGGAGGGACCCGGAATCCGTAGTGAAGACCCACAAGCAATTCTCAGGTGCTGTGGCTGGGAGCCCTGCTCCTGCCTCCCTTTTTCCCTGAGGACAGGATAGGGGAGAAGGGGACTGTGCCATGGGGCTGTTCTTAGGGTGTCCTCTACTCTGGGAGTGAAAGATCTCGGAAGCGATCACGTTTTATTTTTGGTTGATATTTCAGTCAGTGCTGTGTACTGTGTCCTGTAGGGCCGCTATCAACTCATCTGCTGAAGCCCCAGAGTCCCAAGTATCTCCCTTGATGGTGTCTTTTCCCCGATTCCCTTCGTCAGATGCATAAGCAACTCCTCTTGGTTTTACCTTCAAAATACACCTCACACCTGCCACTCCTCACTTGCCGACTCCTCCCCTCCTTTGCTGTTGCCGCCCCAGTCCAAGGGGTCACCCTCTCTCACCCGAACTGCTGTGATGCCTCCTACCTGCATCACCACGTCCACCTCTGCCCCCCAATCCATGATCCACTCGGGAGCCAGAGTATCCATGTGTGTGCACATGCATGTGTGTGTGTGTTGCAGGGCCCAGCATTGAGGCCAGGTAAGAATCATGACCCTGGAGATGTACAAAATATAGTCAGTATTTAATTCACAACTCACACGGTTTATTGCACCCAATCAGCACACAACACAGGTCAGACGGAGTAGGGAAAATAGAAAAACGGGGTAACGAGCCCTCCTAGGAGAAGTCCGGGAAGGAGGCGTCTCAGCACAAGCGAAGGTCCCAGGTCAGGCACAGGTCACAGGGCCTTGGGCAGCTCCATCTGGAACAGCTCCCAGCAGCCTGGAGTCAGGTCCTTCCAGCAGAAGGGCCTTCCAGCCGCTTGGCGTGGGGTCTCTTTTTAAGGAGCAACAGGGGAGGGGTTTGGCTCTACCAGTTGTTCCTTGTGTTCCAGTGATGTCCATGGTGCATCAGACTTCTTATCTCAGTACCGCTCTTAGTTTATCCCTCTAAGACACTCGCAGTCCTACAGCAGACGTTTCAAAACAACTACATGGACGTTTAGGTTGGCCGCTGTGACTCCATTTTGAGCTACTTAACATGTCTTAACATGGCTTAAATCCTGTAAGTATCACACAGAAGAAATCACATCATAACCGTGTGTTCTTTTTTTATTTGGGTATTATTTATGTAGAATACACCTCACCTATTTTGAACATCCAGCTTTTTGAGTTTTGATCATTGTACACGGTTGTGTAACCACCACCGCAAGATACAGAACTGCTCCCTCCTCCTGGAAGTTTCCTTTTCTCCTCTGCTCGCCACGCCCTCCTCTGTCCCTAGCCCCAGGCAACCATGGATCTGCTTTCTGTTGTTAAGGTTGTACCTTTTCTAGAATGTCATATAAATACAACCACACAATACGAAGGTTTTTGTTTCTGACTTCTGTCTGTTTTTGAGATCCACTCACCTCATTGCGTGTCTGCTCCAGGCTCCTTCCCCTCTGTTCATACACCAGCTGAGCAGTTTATTCCCTCTGCATCCCTGTGCCCTCTGCACCCAGCAGCTCTGCCTGGGCTCCTCCTTGCCTGGCTCTTTCTCTTTCTTCTGGTCTCAGACGCCTCCTCCTCCGAGCATCCCTCACCACACCAGTCCTCTACTCCTCTTGACACACACACACACACACACACACACACACAATTATTTTTCTCTCAGATTCTCCTATTAAGTTCCTTCATGTCACAGTTATATTATTCATATACTCTTGCAGGTTGAATTGCATCCCTCAAAATTCATCTGTTGAAGTCCTAACCCCCAGTACCTTATGATGTGACCTTATAAAGAGAGGGGCTCTTTACAGAGGTAATCAAGTTAAAATGAAGTCATTAAAGTGGGTACGAATCCAGTATGACCTGTGTCCTTTTAAAAAGGGGAAGTTTGGAGATAGACCTACACAGAGGGCAGACTGTGTGAAGATGGCCGTCCACAAGCCAGGGAGAGAAGCCTGGGACAGACCCTTTCCCTCATAGCCCTCAGAGGAGCCCACCCTGCTGACACCTTGATCTTGGACTTCTAGCTCCAGAACTGGGAGACAATACATTTCTGTTGTTTAAGGCACCCAGTTTGTGGTACTCTGTTACTGCAGCCCTGGCAAACAAATACATTTTTTTTTCCTTTCTGCCCTCACCAGAGTGTAGGTCTGGTGGGAGCAGGGACCCCTCTGTGTCATGCACAGTTCTGTCCCCAGGGCCCAGCACAGAGGAGACCCTTGGTATGTTGCTGAATTAAAGAATGGGCACATCCTCTTATTTTTTCTCACCATTATCCCTCCAAGGCTGGCTTATCAAATTTAGGTTACCTATTTGAGGTGGAGGTGACACAACTAAAAGCGAGAGAATTCTTGATTCCTAGTCCCGTGTCATTCCAATTACTCCACAGTTCCCTAAGAGCCAGCTTGAATAAAAGAAAATCTACCAGCCTTCCCTTCTTATAGAATACAGGGTGCTTGTTCTCCTGAAAGTGTTTCAGAAGGTTCAAAGCTATCACATTTGAGCTGTGGAGAGAGAAGTAAAAATAGCAACAAAACATAGCAACCAAACCCAGATAGCTTGAAGGAGGTTATTTACATTAAACAAAGCAAACCAATCTACTTAACAAAAGCCTTCTTTTCTTAACCTAAGTATTGATCATCACACTAATACCCCAACCCATCCTCATATAATACAATTTATTAAAATTAGATCTTTTAAAATTTTTATTGAAATATAGTTGATTTACAATGTTGTGTTAGTTTCAGGCGTACAGTAAAGTGAGTCACTCATATAAATATATATATTCTTTTTTTACATTCTCTTCCATTACAGATTATGAAAGGATATTGAGTGTAGTTCCCTGGGCTGTGCAGTAGGTCCTTGCTGGTTATCTGTTTTATACATAGTAGTGTGTATATGTTACTCCCAAACTCCTCATGTATCCCTCTTCCCCACCCCCCAACCCCTTTGGTAACCACGAGTTTGTTTTCTGTGTCTGTGAGTCTATTTCTGCTTTTTAAATAAGTTCATCTGTGTCCTTTCTTTTAAGATTCCACATATAAGCAATATCATATGTTTGTCTTCGTCTGGCTTACTTCGTTGAGTATGATAATCTTTACGTCTATCTATGTTGCTGCAAATGGAATTATTTCATTCTTTTTTTATGGCTGAGTAATGTTCTGTTGTATGTATATGTACCACATCTTCTTTATCCATTCATCTGTCGATGGACAGTTAGGTTGCTTCCATGTCTTGGCTATTGTAAATAGTGCTGCTATATTACAATTTGATTTACAGAGATCTTTCGAGGAGCTGTCCATTGTACACTTAGAGCTGCAGGCCTATCGATTAAAACATATCTGTAAACTGTTGACCTGAAACAAATAGACCACCACGTATTTCTCCAGCAAAGATGGGTTTATTTAGGATCAGCAGAGAATTGCAATTCAGGGTGTGCAACTACAGCAAGCCACGGGCAAGTCGCCCCATGGCAAAGGAAGGAGAACACTTCTGTAGAGGGGGAAAGGAAATTGGGAGGGCCACAGTAAACAAAAGGTCATGGCTTTCCACTGGCTGAGTCCTTGCCAGGAAA